TCCTGTAGTGGTTCATTGAACCACAATACCGACAAGTGATTAATAAAAGTCAAAAGACCAAAGAGGTTACCTTAATAAAAAAAAAAAAAATAAAAAATAATAAAGTAGAAGTATGACAACTTAGTAAACTGGTTAAGTTGTCAACTTTTCAAGTAATAGGTTGTGAGTTCAAAACTCATCAACAATAAAAATTTGAATAATTATCTATGTAATATATAAACAGTATTATAGCAATGACATTACTCTCAAGTGACAAGTCTAAGATTCAATTCCCACAGATAACAAATTTTGAAAATTATACTTATATTATGGTAATTGTTTCTTACTGATCAGTTGGGTTTTGGGCATCTGTAATCTTAGGTATACCAAGTTAGATTTCATCTGACATTAAGAGCTCAGAGCATTTATGCAAAGTGTAATGTTATATATATATAGAAGAATATGAAAAACTGATATCATATAAGGCTTTAGTGCAAACCTGTAATAAGACTACCAGATATAAAAGCCTAAAAAACTAAACCTACTTAGAAATCCTGAGTAAAGAGATAGTATAAACTTTTGATAGTATCATTGGACTAATAGAAGCTCATAAAACACCTTTATAAAAACTGTTAAATAAACTGGATGACAAGATGTGTAAAGAAGTATATGATCAACTAGGTTATCAGAATTACTAGAAGAAAAAAATACATAAGTATACTATATCAGGCCATCTAGATTAGAAGTCTGGAGAGTTAGTTAGTTCTAAGGTGCAGCTAATAGAGAATAATAATAAAAAAGTTAGAAAGATAGATATCAGAGTTTGAGTAAACTTTACAAAAGTAATAGCAGTTTAATAGATAATCCTGACTGCAAGTATTGATCTTAACCATAGCAGCAAATCAGGTTAGTAGTAAAAGAAAATACAGCTTGCTCTGGTAGGTTTATCTCAAGGATAAAAATAGTCTAAAGATTATAGTTTTATAATTAAAAGCAAATAGATTTGAGTCTGTGATCTGATAAAATTAATACTAAGATCAGATCAAAAAGTTTAAATAGAACATTTAAGCAGAAGTGTTAGATATAGCAGCTGGTAGAGAACCTTCAGATGGACTTTTTAAATAGGTAATATAGAAAAGTTATATATATAGCTAGTTGTATACTCATCTGATAGTTTAATATAGTTATATCTATATAAAATATATACTTGATATAAGAATTAATAAAAAGCTAGAACTAAAAAGATCATCTTAATATTAAAAAAAAAAAAAAAAAGCAATAACATTGATTATATTGATCAGTTGTAATAAAATACTTGTAACTATAATTGCATCAATATAACTAACAGGTTATAAGGTATCTGTATAACTGGTTATACAAAAGAATACAAACTAGTAATAGGTAATGCAAATCTAAAATAAGTCCTTATAATTGTGTAAATTTATAGAATTGGAAAGATAGAGTCTATTTGAGAAGACTTAAATAAAGAAATAGTACAAATCTTTAATAATATTACTATAAAGACTAGATCTAAAAAACAGATATCAATATAAAGAAATTGAATAAGCAAGAAACTTAGATGAGAGGTATCATTAATCAGACTATTGAAAGTTTCAACTAAAAAAAAAGGATATCAGATATTATAACTCTAAAACAGATTACAGTCCTTCTAAACTATCTAGATTAGAAGTCTGATGTCAAAAGCAAAGATATACTATAAGTATTATAGATATGCTATAAAATAAATACTAGGATCTAAGTAAATTTTACAAAAATAAGCTCTATTAATAAAGACAAAATATGAGTAGTTAGTTAGCTCCTGAAGCCTTACAGTTAGATGATGTATTTTGAAATATATAATAGCTTAATAGATATACAAACAAAAAGGTCAAAATTAGATTAAATAACACTTAAGTATATAAAAACTTATGTAATTATCTGTTGAATATAGTATAAAGATTAGAGTATTTAATTAAATAATCTTCTAACAGATTACAGATATGGCAGCTAATATAGAACCTGCAAGGTAAACTACTTAAATAGATAGTCAAAAGCTGTATATATGGCTAGTTATATACTTACCTTGTACAAGTTATATAATTATAATAAAATTATAATAAAGGCAGTAGATATTAATAACTAATGCCTTTAATGAAAACAAAAAAAATTATAATAAAATAATTAAATAATTAAATAATTATAAATTATATAAATTGATATTAAAATTAAGAAACAAAAATTTCAAAAAAATAAACAGTACAAAAGAAAAAAAAATAAAAAAATAAATAAAAAACTTCTAAAAAAATATAATAAAAAAACTAATAAATAATAATAAAAAACTTGACTAAAATAATTTTAAAAACTAGTTTAAATAATTTAATAGCAAAAATACAAACTTAAACTAGTGTAATAAGCCATCTTTAAATGCTTTTATAATAAAAATAATTGAAAAATTTTAAATCTATAAATTAAGCTAATATTTATATAATTATTATAAAAAATATTTAATGAAACTGTTAAAAATAAAAAAAACAAAAACAAAATTAAATAATTATAATATAATATTAGTGCAATATTATTTAAATAGTAATTAGAAGTGTGATAACTTAGTGAAATAAATAAGTCATTAACCTTTCAAGTAGTAGGTTAGATATTTAAATTCTATCAATAGTAAAAATTTAGATAATTATCTATATAATATTTGTATTACAACAATTATTTATAATAATTAAATTAAGAAACTATAATTATGATTATATCAATATGTTTAGAAGGTTATAAAATATTTGTATAACTAGTTATACAAATAAATAAAACTAACACTAGATAATGCAAACTCTAAATAAGTTTTTATAACTGTAAATCTGTAAAAATTAAAAAACAGAAAGTCTATTTGAAAAAAAATAATATATATCTTTAATAATACTACTATAAAGATTAATCTTATAAAATAGATACTAATATAAAAGTACTAAATAAACAAAAATCTATAGATAAAAGATATTATTAATTAGGTTATTAGAATTGGATTAAAGAAAAAGAATATTAACTAATCTAATATACTAATAAACTAATTATAATTCTAATAAATTATCTGAATTAAAAATCTGATAACAATATAAGATATACTAAAATATTTTAAATATATTATAAAGTAGTACTGAACATAGTAGTTTAATAACTAATCTTAATCACAAATGTTAGTTCTAATATAATGATATTAAATCAACTATAAAAATAAATATAAAAAACTTCAGAAGGTTTATCTCAAAAATAAAATAATCCTAAAATTGAGACAATAATATAAACATAACCTAATAATATTAACATAAATTGCAGATTCAAAAGGTTTAAATAAAATATCCAAGCAAGAATGTTAAATAAATAATATAGAAAAGTTACATGTGTAACCAATTGTACACTCTTTCTATAGTAGTTCCTTATGGAACATATTATCAAAAAAACATTAATAAATGTCAAGAGACCAAAGAGGTCACATTAATACCAAAAAAAAAAATAGTGACTAATCCTAATTAAGTATAGATCTGCATCAAGAAAGTTACTTCTCTGCGCGGATTTCACCCTTTCATATTATAATAATCCCTGTCGCATCGCACTAAGTGTTGACTACAACATAATTTTTACACTTGAATAACCATATTTATGAATGTCAATATGGAAGCTTCCCATGAAAGATTCCCGGTCTTCATTTTGATCATCAGGAATCTCTCGTGCATTTTATATTATTTTCTTTAAGTTTTCACGCTTTATGCAAACTTTAATTTTTAAGTTGTTATATTATGGGCAAAAATTTTAATAAATACAGTATTAGTATAAGCTTATTGTAAAATTTAGTTTAACGAATATGCATAATTAGATCAGTAATAGAATGTTCAAAAAAAAATTAGTGCAAATATTTAAGAGAAGTAATGTATGTCATTTTATTTTTTATTTGACTTAATTTTTTTATTTACTTATCAACATATAACTTATTATGCAGTTGATAAAGTTCTATGACGTTTCGAGAGGTATAAATTTTAAAGGCACTTGAATAATATCTTTTTTTTTAATTATAATTGTTGACTTTAAGATAAAAAAAGTTAATTTATGTCGATACTACAATGAGCTAATTGTGGGAACATTTGAGAAGAAAAACAAAAAGCATTTATAAAATAATATAGGTTAAACACATCCAGATTAAAGGTATAATTCATAGATCTAATATTGTATACTCCCAGTAGTTGGTGTGGTAATGTATATAATCAATTAAAAAAATCAACTGCACAGAATATTTTGTGTGCAAACACAAAGTATTAAATGAAAAAGAATTATCTAACAGTAATAATTAGACATTTTCACGTTTCATTTTTCAATGAAAAATTAAGCTATCTTCGCAACTTATAAAATTATCAACTGATTTATCCTATTTTATGGGATTATATTCGCTGGTAAAGCATCGATGATAAGCATAATTTTCTTCGCTCTTGTCAGCGAAAGTTTAGATGTTGCATAGAATTAAATGCTAGAACATCACTCATATTCGATAAGTATTGATGCTCATACTCGTTCCAAATTATTAGCTGTTAATTGTCCATTTCATGCAATGTCCGTTAAAGATAACCAATCAAATTTTTAGATTAGGTAACACGACAGATTCTTGCATATTTTATAACGGTTCGTTTTCCTAGTTTACTAAGAATACGAGAATACTCTTCTATTTTCAATTTTCTTACAGATGAATCTCGATAGCTTTTTGAATATGATTCGAGACTGGGATGGCCACGAGTAATTCATCTATTTAATGAACTACATAACAGATAACTGAGGGTTTTACCTTCTAAAATCTGTTAGACACTTTCAATTTTCAGAGGAAACTTAGTCAAAAAGTTTATTCTTTATGGTTTAAGTTTCATTTGTGAAAAGCTTTCATCTTTAATAAATTATTTTTCACTTATTGTATAAATTTCTAATATAACCCTTGGATTTAATATGTAACAATCCTGCTTGGTTGTTAAATCACACTTAGGTTTTAATTTGAAAATGAAATGCTAATAAATTAAAGTATTTATTTAGTAAATTTGATTAAATTTTAAATTTGACATTATTGACTAAAAATGGGACATATATTTGGGTTTTGATTATTATCCAAGATGAAGTAGAAATTCGATTCCCAAACTCAAACTTTAAGGTTTGGGTCGCGACCCTACTGTAGCTTGATTTACCACAGGTCCCAGTCCAATAACGGTCCAAAAAGATAAACTTTTTGTAGTTGGTATAGATGAAGTAGTTTCATCCTTATCAGTATTCTGTTTATCAGATGACGCTGCCTCTGTAGCAGTTGATGAGTCGCCAGCTGGTGCATCCCCAGAAGTCCCAGAAGCTTCATTATCATTACTATCGTTAATTTTGCTTACGTAAGTTACCAAAAGAGGAAACTATAAAATAGAAATATGAATAAATGTAAATAAATGTAAACGAGTAAAAAAAATAAAGATAAATTTTGTGAACCTTAAGCTCGTCAACTTCAGCCAATGGCGTTATATCAACTTTAACACTAGTAGAATTACCACGCCTTTCGTAAATACCAGCATCAGCTGTTGGTGTACTTGTAATTGAAAGTGGACGACCTTTTGAAGCAATAAAGTCCTGTTCATATTCCCAAACTTCGTTGTAAGGAGTTATGTTGAAATGTGGGGCAGGTAATGTAATCTATGGTAACAAAATGATTACTAATATTGCAACAATTAAATTACGACCTAAAATGTAAAAAAATGCAAATAAACCTTGGCATATTCAGTAGTTTCATCTTTCAAAGCCAAATCAACTATGATTTCTTCATATAAAGGGTTAGAAAACTTTAGCACGATTTCTGTGTGTTGGTTGAGAATAAGTTTTGGCAAGCTTGTTATAGTAATCTTCGGAATACTATTTCTGTATTGAATAATTAGATAATTTTGGTATAAATAGGTAAATAAATAAATTGAAAAATAAATAAATTGATAAATTAATGGGACATACAGGGCAACAAGTTTAATTTTAAATCGGGTGGCTTGAGCTTTTTGCTCAGGTTTGATAAGAATATGACGACACGAGCGACATCGTTTTACACGTTTTGTTCGAAGATGTATACGTTGAGGCTGAAGTCGCCTGCCAGATGGTTGATAATCATTAATGAACGAACCGAAAATAAATATATATATGTGTTCTATTTATTTATACACTCACTCCACTTTATATGGTTGGTCACTAAGTTGATTCATTCTCTGTGTCAATGTGGTAACTGTTAACATAGAATCAAGTTGAGATTACTAGTTTAATGACAATGAAAGCATATCATCTAATAATTGACACATACTCTGATTGACATCTTTCAATTGAACTAGATCATGAACCAAACTATCATCATTCTCAACTTTTACCATGGCATCATATTTTGCAACATCATCAGACTTTTGTTGTGGATGAGCTAATCCACTACCACCATATCGATTGCTGAAACTGCTTATGCCTGGAATTGACAACAATGAGGTTGGAAGTGTAGTAGATGGAGCACTGAGACGTAAATGCTTCTCAAAATGATCTTTAAGATGATCGAATTCTTTTACATCAGGTCTTTCGTCCTCAGTTTTTTGAAGTTGTACTAATATCGGTTGAATTAAAATATATAATATGTTAAATTGCCTAAAACTCTAAAGTATTTATTTGATAAATCAAATAATTACATGCTAATCCAGTTGCCTTTTCAAATGTCATCCCTATTTCTTGAGAGTCCCAACGACAGACACCACATGAAAGGTAATAAGGAGCACCGCTTGCTGGCGCTGAGGGGGGGTTAGAAGGATGAGAGGTTTGCGGAGGTGGGGGCTCAGTAGAAGCTACAACCGAAAGTGTATTTTGACATATAGGACATTGAAAACAATTTCGCGCGCATCTGATAGTATTACATGTTTTTAGTAAATTCATATAAAAGTTGTCAAATTCTGAAGTTTTTGAAGATCGTTACTTCTCATTAACTATCTTTAAGCACCAGCTAAAAAATATAATAAACTTTACCTATTTCTTTCACTTTTGACACTAGCAGTTGGCACCTCAAACAAACAGTTTGGACAATAGTAACAAACTATTTCCTCTTGTACACATCTTGGACAACGTATTTGATAGCAATCATCACAAAAATATAGTTTTGATATAGGAAAAGTAGAAAAATGAATGCGAGGAGAATTAATGTCAAAGTCCGGAATAGACTCTACAATGTCCTCTTCTTCTTCCTCCGTAGTAGTTGATTTGGACACGTCAGGACAGGGACAATAATAATGCACGTACGAACGTTGCCGCGCCTCAAGTTGTTGCGACATTTCGACAATGGGCAGATAACGATAAAACCTTGCTTCGTTTCGTTTATAAGTCGCACATATCACATGATAATCCTACAAACCTGATCTTCCCCAACAAATTTTAACTACCCCAGTATCACCATAAAAAGGTATTGTCACGTGATGATAGATAATGACTTATCCAATAGCGAATCTTGCTTTAGTGTAACGTAACACTATCAGGAAGGTCAAAACAAAACGTTCGTTTTTCTAATAAAAAAAATTTATTGAGCAATTTTACTATAACCCCCACTAGTGCCTAGCTTTATTAGAAGCATTTAACCCTGACTTAAACGAACAAAGATTTTTTGATGCGTCACAAGTATTATCACGCGACAGTAACTTTTTTACGGCGATTCTGTCCACGGACACGAACTAATTCGCGTAATTTGTACGTATCTATTATAAATTTAAAACCTGCCATGTGCTAATATACTTACCCTAAAGTTAGGGTACATGCAAGTTATATGAATTGGTATGTGTTCATAGATATACTTGTTGGCAAAATTATTTAGATTTGGGTTTTGGGATTTGAGACAATTTTATTATATTTGGGATTTGGAAGAGATTTAAATTTGGAGATTTTTAGTTTTGTCGGCATGTATATTTGTAGATTGTCTTTTTGGGTAAAATATAAATTTTTTTTTTTTAATGTTAAGGTAAGTACTTATAACTCAGGATCTTATTAATATTATAATATGTTTTAACTAATAGTTGTTTGTACAACAACTTCAGAAACAATTATAAAAAGAGTATACAATTAGTTATTGTTTAATTTAAATAGTTTATTTAAAAGTTTTATACTAGTTGTTATATTTAGAATTTATTTGTAGATTTTTTATTTAAACATTTTAGTTTTTGTATTTATTTTATTAATTGTTTTAGTTAATATTGGTATAAATATGTTATAAAGTTTTTAAAGCAGTTTATTTATATAAAGAACTTTTAATTTTATACTAAACCTATTAAAATTTTTTGTATTTTATACTTATAATTAATTTAGTACTGTTTTAATTTAGATTAACCCTTGTAGTTAAAATTAATTGTTAACCTATTATATTTTTAAAACTTATTTAAACTTTAGTATTCATCTAATATTTTTTTTATTATCTCTTACTAATTATTATTTAGAATTAACAGAACTTGCCAGACTACTAGTTTAAATAGTTTAGTATAATATATTTATATATATTTTTTTCTAATAATTCTAGTATCTTGTTAATATATATGCTTTTTTTGTATATTTGTTTAGTTTATTTGCTTATTTTTTTAAGATAGTTTATAAAGTTTATTAATTTAACAGTATTGTTAAAATTTTATATTATTTTTTATTTAAGATTTCTAAATAAACTTCTGTTTTCTTAGTTTTTTAGTCTTTTATATTTAATAAACTTATTATAAGTTTACATTAAAGTATTATTATTTTTTTTTTGATGTTAAGATAATCTCTTAGATCTTTTGACTTTATTTAACAATAGTAAATATGGTTCAGTAAACTATTATAGAAAGAGCATACAATTGGCTACATGTGTAACTTTTTTATATTACCTATTTAAGGAATTTACTTAAAGGTTTCTCACCAATTGTCATACCTAACACCTCTGCTTAGGTATTCTACTTTAAACCCTCTGAACTTGCAAGTCTGTTAACTTTACTGAGTCATATCTAATGTCCAGATCATTATTTCAACTTTAGAACTATTTTATTCTTGAAGTAAACTCTCTAGAGCCTTCTGTACCTATTTTTACAACTAACCTAGATATCATTATAGCAGAACCAACACTTGCAATTAGGGCTTAATCATTAAACTGCTATGCCTTTGTAAAGTTTACTTAGACTCTAACATCTACTTTATAGCATAATTCCAATACTTTAGTATATTTTTGCCTTTTCACTTGCCTTTTTACCAAACTCCCAATCCAGATAGACTGTGTAGGACTATAACTAGTTCATCAGTATATTAGGTTAGCTCGATATCTTTTTTCTTCAGTTCGTTCTAGCAGCCTAGTTGATAATACTTTTAAAACTCCTAACTTAGAGATTCTTGCCTGTTCAGCTACTACAACCAGGTACTATAACCTTGGTATCTGTTTTTCTAAGTTAGTCTTTACAGTAGAGCTGTTAAAGATTCAGCTACCTCTTTACTTGGATCTTTCCAAATAGACTTCTTGTTAACCAATTTCAATAGATTTACATAGTCACAAGAACTTATCTAATGTTTATACTGCCCAATTGTTGGTTTGCATTCCTTTGTATAACCACAGACCTTGTCCCAAAGGATAATATCACATGACTTGTTACATGAATGCCTTATAACCTGCTAGTTATGCTAGTGTAATTGTCATTACAGATATTCTAACCCAATTATTAGTAACAGTTGCTATAATACGAATATTACATAGGTAATTATTCAAATTTTTACCATCAATGGGATTTGAATACCTAACCTACCACTTGAAGAGTTAACAACCTAACCACTTCACTAGGTTACCACATCCTTACATTAAAGTATTATATAATATTAGTTTTCTATAAGAATATAATAATTTAGTAAAGTAAATAAGTTGTTAATTTTCTAAGTGATAGGTTGTAAGTTCAAAATTTACTAATAGTAAAAATTTGAATAATCAGCTATAAAATATATAAATAATATTATAACAATAGCATTCTGTCAATTAGTTAAAATAAAATATCTGTAATTATAATTATATCAGTATAACTAGCAAGTTATAAGACATTTGTATAACTTTAATTATACAGAAAAATGCAAACCAATATCAAGCAATACAAACTCAAAATAAGTATTTGTAGTTGTATAAATCTGTAAAACTAAAAAAAACTGAAGCTTATTTAAAAAAATTTAAGTAAAAAAACATACAAATCTTTAATAATACTATTGTAAAAACTAAACAAAAAAATAAATACTAATATAAAGGAATTAGATTAACAAGAACATATATTATTAACTAAGTTATTAAATTAAACTAGTAAAAAAAAATATTAGATCAAATTTAATATATCAAAAACAAATTACAGTTTTTTTGAACAATCTGGATTAGAAGTTTAAAGATAAAACAGAAGTATACTAAAGTACTAGGAATATACTATAAAGTAGATATCAATAAACTTTATTAAAGCAAATGCTTGTTAATAATTTGTAGAATAGATAGATAGTTAACAAGAAGGTTTTTTAAGTCTTACTAATTGATGTTATACTTTAAAATATGTAACAGTCTAAGAATAAATTTAAAAAGAGAAAGTACTATACTATTTAAACAGTAAACTAGTGTCATAGGCCAGAAAAATGTAATAATTCATGCATAACAATACCTAGCACAAATAATGATCAGGACCCATGGATTGTGCATATATTGTTAATCTTCAGAGACAGAGAAACATGCATAATTAGGCCTTTATACTAAGAAATACAAGACAAAGCAGTTGTGCCCAAATTAGAGAAGACATTATATCATGATGATGATGTTTCAAAGTGGCAAAATGCAAAATAATAGAGAGATGGGTCAGTACAATTGCATTAAAAATAAAATAAAACAACACAAATATAGTAAAGTACTTACCCAATCAAGTGAAACTTGTGATGGTATAATTGTAGAAAGACAGAATGATAGGAAAAATAGAAGTATAATCTAAAAATAAATAGAATCTATTAATACAAGTAAAATTGTTTAAAAGCAAATAAAAATTTAATAAAATTACTTATCTTTTTTGTACTCCCAAGTAATAGGAAGAGGATTAAAATCTTTTAGTAGTAATAGTTGATAGTTTATAGTATAGTTAGTTAAATATTATTAAATAAAGAAATTTAGGTACAAATAAATAAAGTAATAAATAAAATATTTACCCAAATCAAGTTCATGTTTTGAAGCCTTGTAACTTAAAATATAATGTTATGTGATGTTTGGTTAGTAGAAGCAACAGACTTGCTGTTTACCCATCATACTAGTTAAGTATATATGTAAGATATAGTAGTAGTTAGATAATTAACAAATAGATAATTAGAAGTTTTAAATAAATAATGGATCATTTGTACCGAATTTTACACCAACAAAAATGAAAAACTTATTGGAGAAAGCAGAAGAGGCTACTATATAAATAACAGTTTTTATAAAGGTCAAAGTGGTTCTTCTACAC